CTGTTATATTGTGCCCTGGGTATATTCCCTTCTCAATTGCCATCACTGCTTTGTTACTGCATGCTTATCCCCCTTTTACTTGAAGAAATATAAAGAAATTTACACTTTTATCCTTATTAAATGTTAGTATATTTTTCTCACTCATTCTCCCTCTCTCTTCACCTTTACCTCTGTCTCTCTTAATTAATAGGGACATAATAAGAAATGAAACATTAAAAAAGATACAATGACAAATAAAAAGGACGAAAAATTTTCTTTGCAAGTGACAATAAAAAAGGATCAGAGTGGTAATAACATTCTTTTAATGAATATTGCCTTCATCTCTTATTATAAGATACAATTTTTTGAATTAGTTTGTCCTTGTTTTCTAAGATTTTTTGGGTTTTTCTGAATAATAAATACATTTTTACTCATTCTACCGTTAATATATTCTCTTTCATTATCTTTTTCCATACATTCTTTTTATTTTTTTTCTTACTCATATCTAGCCGCTTATAAATAATGGCATATTTAAAAAAAATATAGTTTCAACATATTTATTATTTTTAAATAATTTTTTTAAACTAAGTAATATGGTTGTAATCAAGGACAGAAAAAGTATGCAATTTTATCCTTTTTTCTTATGGAAGTATCAACCAGTGGTCTCGACATCAGCAATATCGGTGGTGAAATCAGCTCCTCCTAGCGCTTCCTTGGCCAATCTGTCGGCTACACGGCGAGCGTCCTGGCTGCACCCATCAATGCTGGCGTCGTCCCAATCTCCGTCTCTTTGCATCTTCATACTTTTTAACTAAATTATGCATTCATTTCAAACTAATAATATCATATTTAAAAAACTCTGAAAATAGTATCTGGTCTCAGTTGAGTCATAAAATCCTGATATATGTAAAATTTTTGTGAGTGTTTGTTTATTAAGAGAAAAACCCATAGGATTCTTTGAATTTACTGAGCTCAAGATAGTATTGCATCAATTCAGAAAAATTCGCCTTTAAAATATTCTCTTTAATATTTCACATTTGAACTTTATTCCTATCGATGTAATTTTACTTTTAAAATGTGTAATTAATAAAAATAATTTTAAAAATTATATGAATTTGTGCTGGAACATGAAAGTTGAGGAGCTGAACCAAATTTAGCAAAAGTACTAAACAAGCATGCTTTGGTATATTATTTATGGTTGTGATATTGTGATCATTATATATATCAGGAAGTTGATATCGACTATTAGAGGTTTATAGTTACTTTTGACATGAGAGAAGTTGTCATTATCACTAATAGAAATTAAGCATTTGCATTAAAAGATGTTGGACTTACTACTGAAGTAAGTCTTATTAGTAGATGTTTAATTTTTGATACTGCCAAATAATAGAGTAAAAAGTTTATCACATCTGGTTTTCACATTTATGTAAGGTGGAATGGAAAGTGTTCAAGGACATAGTGATCCATGAAATGCAATAAATGTGACTTCATAAGTGCCAATATTGAACTTGTGAGGGTAGTAGATTATAAGGCTTTTTGCTAACATTTTGTCTTTCAATGATATAAACTTCTAGCTTAAAGAAGTTATAAATAACATAGTTCAATTTTTTTAATCTATGTAATTTATAAAGCTGGTGTATGATAAAAACACCAGATAATACTAAGAAATTATTCTCAATATCAGTATGGAAGTAAAAAAAAAATAGAACAACATATAATTTGCAATATTCACATCCCATGATTAATGAATATAATACTACCTTCAGTCCTAATTATAAGATCTTGTTTATAATTTACAAACGAGATTTTATAAATATGATAGTAAGTGGTAGTTGATTTTTTAGATGCACCTAGACATGGGCATATGTAACGTGCCCTATTTTTGCATCGTATTATAATATATGCACATACATATACATAAATATATCAAAGATGCATATTCTATTTAAGAAAGCATAATGTGAATAGAATTTACGATTGATCTCTGCGATCGCAATACCATATAACATGTATATATCCTTTCATTAACCAAATATTATTCAAAATCCAAGATTAATAATTAAGGAACTTTGTAACATGAAATCTGATCAGAAACGCTGTACATACAGTTGTTTGTCAACAAGTCCCAACCATTAAACAAATAATAATATATAGACTTATGTGATTTAGTATTAATTAAGTAATGATAATATATATTAATCAGCGCTGCTTCATTCCGATGCAAAGACACAGTAAAATATATATTAAAAAAGAATTGACAAAGTCGAGTAGTCGACAGATATTGCAAAACCCAGGAAGGGCAAGAGGATGGTTTTGGTTGTTCAAAGGTATAAAATTAATTAATAAATGAACTTCAGTTCTTCTGACAAAGTGACCTGTCAGGGAAAGACTCTCTTTGCATGTTTTAGTATTTTAGTATATGACTATATCTGATTTAGAGTATTATTAAAAACATTATTTATTTGAAAAAATAAATAAATAAATAAATAAAGACCTCGCTGTTATTATAGTTGTCCTAGTCTTGTTGACTAGGTATTTTAATGGATATATTCCTTAATTGCAGTGAGCTGCGTTGGTATTATCAGTTAATTAGCAGAACAAAAGGCCAAGCTTGTATTTAACCTATATGGCACGACTTCACATTCACAACCACTTCTTCTGGTTTGTTATGAATTAATCTTTTTTTCCTTCCAAGTATTGAAAATTGGATTATTCAACCGATTGAAACATTACTTTATGAGTTAGTCATTTAAATTGGGATTTATTCAGGTTAGATCTATCATAATAAAATAATAGTGTGATTTAATTAAAATATATATAAAAATTCATATATGATCTAATAAGAGTCATATTTAAGTAAAAATACATTAATTCATAAGTAAATGTAACATTCATGTTTATATAAAAAAATAAAATATTTATGTGTAAATCACTTTTAATCCATTAAAAGAGTAATGTTACTTTTTATTCAAAACAACATCATTTTAGACTTAATAAGGAGGGGAAAAAATATAAAATCTAAAGGAGTAGATTTTTATTTCTAAGATTACACAATGTTACTTTCTTCAAGAAGCTTTTTAAAAGAATTATATGATATCCAATACAATATGACCAAAATCAAGCACTATGATCAATATAATCTTCAAACTAAAGAAACTCCTAATTATAATATCAGAAAGCACGAAATTACTTAAGGCCTAGAAGGCATTCAGCCACTTCCCCTTATAGAAAAACCAAGTTTTTTTTTTTAAATAATTGAACTATTGTTAAAGTCCATGATGACCAAAAATGTACTAACTATAAAGTCAATCAAATTCTAATTAAATCATAGCTGATTTCTTACACTAGAAAAGATGATTAGGAATCTTGGTTGGGTAATAGTGCATGTGTATGTGTGTATTGGAAATGAAGAAGTGGTTAAGAAAGGTTTGTCTTCATGCTGGTGAGATGAGGTGGGAAGACAAAATGTCTTGTTTTACATAATGTACTCTTCTGCTACGAAGTTTCTTTCATGGCGGTTTCTGTATTCATGTCCTCTTCTTCTCTGTATTATCTTCCCCCAGCTTTTTCACTCTTTCTCAAACATCTCTAATTTGGCCTCGTGACCACCTTAATTAATTTAATTACAACCTTAAACTGCATGAAACTGCGATTAAAATATATGGGTGACTATATCTATTTAGAAGTAACATGCAACATCAAGGCTTTGATCTGTAGGGTATAGGTTCAACGGATTCTAAATATGTTTTAATGTAATGTTTAGTTTCCATGCTTCACCAACTACTTTTGGTCCTTTTTGTAAGTTCTTCAAATCAATCAATCAATTTACATAAATTAAGAAAGTTAGTTAAAACTAATTACTACCTCTGTTAATCCTTGATATAAGAGCTAGATAATTAATTTGGAGATATTAAGAAAATTATTTAAGCTTTTTGTTTTGTAACAAATGTGTGTTAGTATCCTTAAGCTACCCTATTTAATCATGTGTATTGATCATTGATAAGAATCCCTTAATACGTACAATTATTGGGGATACTTTAGAGGGAAAAATTATAAATTTGAGAGATAAAATGAATTAAAATTTTATATTTGAAATTTCATTTCAACTAGTTTTTATATTACCATCAATACAAGTAAGAAACTACATTTATATGTTTTGTATAGATTTTTTTTCCTAAGCACATATATCACTTTTTAATGAGAATTCAAACTTTAACTTGTCACATTGCAAAATATTAGCTTATTCCACTAAATTTAACCCCCCATTGGTATGATTTGTATAAGTTAAATTTTTTTTGCTAAGCATAGGTATAGTTCTATTGGAGGTAATTGTATTTGATGTATTGTCAGAATTACATTTCTCCTAATAAAAATTTGAATTTGGTTTGTCAGGAATTAACTTTTTTTTTGCTAGAGCTGAGCCGGTTTGATGAATTAAAGTTAAAGATGCATGGGAGCTTTCTCCCATGGGTTTTGACCCAAGTACCTTGAATATAAACTTGTCAATAATTTTGGACAAAATCGCCAACTGAAACAAACAGGGCGGAAAAGAAAGTGGACCAGATCACTTAACCAACTTGATTTTTAGAGCCCAAGCCCAATTTTAAAACAGTAACTTTATAATTAAGTTAAAATTAATTTACTAACGAAAATATGGGGAAATAATATGTAGACACAATTTAAATAAAAATTTTTAATTTATATTATTATTCACAAATAAACAGAAAAATAATTCCAGATACACAAACTATGGAAGATAGAAAACAAAAAATAAAGGGGAAAAAAAACAGCCTCGTCCTTCTTCAACAATACCATATGATCTGAAGGCGGGCTTATATATATAAAAACCAGGTGAAAAATTTAGGGGGGAAAAAACATTATATATACACAAAATTGGCACTCGTTCATATATTATTGCACGTTAAAACATAATTTAAAGTTGAAGATTATATTGAAAGTTGCGGCTTATATATATATATGAGACCCAATCCCACTGATCTGAACAGAGAACAATGGAGAAATCAGTGCCTCCCTGGCTCAACTCCAGCCGTCTTCAATGTCTCTGCAGTACGAGGACTACCAAAAAAAAAAAAAAATCTGTCAATCATAAATTACTAATGAGGTATTGTTCAGTAGAATTGATATGTAAAATTTAAATTGATTAATATAAATAATAAAATTACATATCAATATGTGACAATTTCAATATATTTATTCAATGAGCTTGTTTTTAATCATGTTTCATATTGAACTAATGTCGAACTAGCTCTTGATCGATCGATAGAGAGAATGGTAAACAACTTACTGAGTAAAAGGGTTGGGGTGGACAGGATCGGAGAGAGTGTTCTTATTATCTTGGATGTGGGCAACCTTCCGGAGCATGGAGCGGTTGATGAACTTGTCGGCGGAATCGACGGTTTCGTCGGGCTCGTCAACCTCCGGCATGGACTCTCTTTTCTTCTTGTTCACATGAACACTTGGAGACCTCACAAGTTGTTGAAACGCAGTGTGAGCTGCTAAAATCACTGCAACACTCACCATCCCAAACACTATTTGAACTGGCGCCCACTCCCCAGTCCTATACACACATATAAAGAAATGTGAATTCTTAATGATTTTTGCAATGTTTTGTATGTAGAAAAGTGATTTTTAAGGAGGAAAAAAATTACAAATGCACATATTTCATTTCATTTTTATATGCATTTTCATTCTAAATTAAATAGGATTTCCTATGAATTAGGATAAAGCCATCCTAATTAAAAAAGTACTCCCTTTGTCCCCTTTTTTGCGTAAACACTTGGTATTATGAGTCAGGCCATCTTTTAGGCACAACAACGGGTTTAGACTAATCCGGATCGAAGCATGATAGGAATCGTTAAGGTTGGCGCTCCTGACTTCGAAGATGTTGCATTCCCACGTTTTGAATTTAAGACCCGTGATTAAGCTAAAACAGTTTCAGCTAGTTGATCTAATCGTCAGGGTTTCCTCTGTTTTTTTTATAAGCAACAACTACCATTTTTCTTTTGTCCTTAGATATAAGTAATATTTGCAGGTTGTCTTAGATTTTTGTAACAAATTTTCTATTTTACACCATTGATTACTTATTTTAATACTCAATATATTTATTATCTAATTTTCTAAACTATTATATGTCTCCATCATATATTTTCTCTCTTTCATAATTCTCTTTATTATAATAATTTTCTTATTCTCTTTCTTATACTCCACCTCCTATAAATAAGAGTATTTTGGAGAAAGAATTTTCAATTTCTACCAATTTATTGTATTTAACTAATTTTTTGATCTATGTAATAAAATTCAAAGTTTTTTTTGTTGTTGTAAAAAGGGGCGGAGGGAGTAGAACATATTATATAGATAAATATAATATATGGGTCAGATAAGGTAATATGTTCCTTTTGTATAAAATAAAACCAGATATGGTAGGAAACATGACTTTTAGGCTAATTATACAAAATGCTCGGAACTTTTTGTCACATGCATAATAATCTTTGAAAATTTATAATAATTCGCCCTGAACTTTTACGTGTATGCACATAATCCCAAAATATTTTAGTTTCATTTGCATTTTCTCCTCAACCTCTGAATTATGTGCAGATAAGCCTATTATGTTTTAAATCACTTGCAAATGAATAATGAACAAGACTAATGACATGGGAATTATTTGCATACATGTAAAAGTTTCAAGAATTTTATTATAAATAAGTTTCAAATGTTAAGAAGATTATTTACATAAAACATAAAGTTCAGGATTAAGCATATATACAAAATCCAGATTGTTGTGACTCTTTTTCGCGCATGTATACGAAATTCAGACTGTGACTCTATTTCGCATGAGTTGATAAATACTACGTTCAATTCTAAATATAAGATATAATTTGTAGTATAATTTGCACTATATATTATGTTTTATATTTAGAATCAAAGGTAGTAAATTACTTCATCGGATTCAAAAATTATGTTATTTTTTCTTCAATTAATTTTGCATTAAAGATAAAACATAATAGAATTATTCATACTTTGAATGAGAAGAAAGGCCATGTGCATTGGCATGATGAGCATTTTCTGCATCAAGCGTGGCTGGTTTCATTTTTGGGGCAGTCGAAGCAGTAATGGATCGTCTTCCTCCTCTTAATTGTCCCACCATTGATCTCAAACTTCCCTGCATCCATTTTCACACCAAATAATATGATTAATTATAAGTTTTAATTAAAAGACCTTCATCCCTAAAATGGTGAATAGATAGCTTAAGAACCAAGATTAATCCACAGTTAATTAAGGTTATAGGATTCATTAATTTACCATTCTGAAAGCCATTTTTTGTGTGATCACGTACGTAACCAAATTATGCAGAGCAGATTATAGTCTTGGGTTTTGCAGGTTCTGATGTTTTTCAGAGAGGATCAATTTATATAGAGAAAGAAGATTAATTAATCTGATGGTGGCGTGGAAGTTTTGATGGTAAACATAGGAGTTTAATAAATTATTTTGCTAATTATGAAGGAGGCTGTGGATTAACCCAAAAAGATAGGGTAGCGCCATGATCAACCACCTGTCTAGCAAATCATTAAGTAATAATTAAGTAAATTAATTAAAGCCTTTCATCAATGTCCTTCTCTATCTATGGTGACTTTGAATCTTTCAGACGCAATGGAGAGCACATTGCCTCAAGTTTGGATTGCCTAGTAATGATTAATTTCCCTTCCAGGGTACTATTATTTCATGATTATGGAAAATTGAATTTAGTATATCGAGGAAGATATAAAGGCTATGCATGATGAAATGGACCTAAGAAGATTTATTCTTATTTGCACTCATCAATCCTTAAACTTGCGCAGTAATATCAAACATAATAAAAGTGTACATTTAATTCTTTAATTTCACACAATATCTTATTTTGATTCCTTAATTTTATAAAGTGTTTCCTTAGTCATTTAACCTTGATGCTGTTAAAGCAAATGCTGACAATGAAATTTTGAACATTGACAAATTATTTTACATGCTGTCATATTAAATTTAATTTTTAAAATAATAATTATTGTGACAAAAAAAATGTCATTTGAAATTGACTAGGTTAGGGTTTGAGTAGTGAAAGCATACTTTATAAAATGAGAAGGTTAAACTGAAATCTTGTATATAACTAAAAAGCTTGAGGAGATTTTTTTTTTTTAAGATAGGTACATGTATCTTTCTATTGGACGTAATTTTGTTCAAGGCATTATCAGGTACTAAATGTGATCATATTTTTCAACAGAAATTTGAACATTGGTTCATCACGTTGTAGGGATTAGTCCTTTTTACTAGATACAATTCCTATTGGTTTTTTAGGCACATATATCCTCCTATTAGAGGCAATTCTATTTAACGTATTGTTAAGCACTAAATGTGGACATCTCTCTCAATAGGAATTCGAACTTTGGTTCACTATGTTATGGAGGATTAACTTCTTTCGCTAGATCTAACTCTGTTGGTAAAGCCTAAAGAGATATTTTTGCCAATATTATATAATGTCTCCAAATCCTGTAATAATAAATATTTGATGCGCATGGGTCAAGTATACTGGGCGTTAGCTTGGCCCAGTTGTTATTGGGCTGTTTCAATTGGTTTTGAGCTTTTAGCGTACAATTTGATGGGCGATTTTTCAACAAGGGAGCTTGACTAATTCACCTGCCATGTTTACCCAAAAACAAAAAAAATCACCCTGCCATGAAAAATAAAACATTTATATAATCCATAACTACATACTCCTCCTATCCTTAATATAAGGCCTATTTAACTAATTTGATTATATTAAAAAAATTAGGTAAGTTAGTTAATTATAAGAAATATGACACATTTTTTCTAAAACACCATAATCATCTTTCTTAATACCCCATCTCCTTCTTCTACTTGATTATGGTTGAGGGAGTATCCATATAGGTAATTTAGAGAAAATTGATAAACATGAGAAATGAGTCTTATATTTAGGATCAAAACTAACTCAATAATTGGATTTTATGTTAAGGATCGGAGGAATATTAGATATGCTGAGGAATGAAGAAAAGGATCTAGTTTTATATCATCATATTTAATAATATATTCAAAACAATTAATTTGGTTTGACTTGAATTAGTTTGGATGCCAATAAAGTTTTCAGTCCAAGTGTGGCAGAAGCAGGATACCAAATGCACGCTGGGGGGAAAATTTGTGATATTGTAAATAAACTAAATTATACACATACAATTTGTATTGACAAATACTACATTAAGTTCTTGATATAAGACTCAAATGACTAATTTGAAGAGATTAAATTTAAATAAATTATTTAATTATAACATATATTATATGCTCTCTTTAAAATACTTATATGTTATTATATTATATATCAACTTATAAGTCAAATAAAATTAGTTTGAAAAAAAGATAAATATAAATATTTATTTATTGTATTCTTTCTAAGTTAGTTAACTAGCTTGAATTGCATATTTTAAAATTTACAATGTCATGATCATTTCACTGGAAAGAGGGAAGAAGGAAAGGCGCATCTTGATAGAGGAGAGAACAAGGAAGCGAATAAGGATAATTCAATAAAATTTCTTCTCTCTTTTTCTGTATTTTGTTTTAACCAAGTGAGAGGAAGGAGCATATTCCTTTTTCCCCCTTTCGTTTCAACCAAACTGACCTATGATATAAATTTACAAGAGACAAAATATAAATTGATTTGATGTAACTAGTTTATATATGATACTCCTATGATGTTCTTTTTTTCAACATTATCTATGGATCTTGCCAAATACATGTCAACATAACCTTTAACCAATATTATAAATATTACGCACGAACTAATTTACTTGAACCACATTTTTTTTTATTTACCTTTTGTTTTGGTTGGAAAAGAAGTATAAGTTGGAATTAATGAAATACTACCTCCAGTCCTAAATATAAGAGCTAATTTATAGTGTAATTATAAGGTTTGTTGGGAATTACATTACAAACTAATTTTTATGTTTACGTAGTATTATTATGTGGAATTTGCTTGGGTGTTGACTCTTCTTATCACCTCAACTTTTCCCTAATTTAGTCATAGTATTAAATAAATCAGAAAATTCTAATAATACATAACAATACTTTTTATTAAAAAAAAACATGACAGTGCATAAAATTTAAATTTAACTACATGATAGTATAGAATTTATTTTAATGTTGATATTAACTATTTTTATATTTATTTATTTACAAATCAGAGTTACCGGTTCGAGTTGGTGGTGCGTAGTGGTGTCATCTCTTGTTTCTTGTTTTATCAAAGTTGTTGAGTACTATTAGTCCTGCTCTTTGGGACTCAAGTAGCGTCTAGTTTGGTGGTGTTGCAACTGGTTTGAGATGTGGCACTCAAGTTTTGGTAGGTTTTTGAAGTGTTGGGGGGAGCAACTAACGGTGTTTTGAGAATTTATTAATGAAAGGACTTATGGCTCTATCGGAACAAAGTATAAAGATTCAATAAAAGGAAATAAAATTAGAGGGGCCTAATTCAAAATCCAATAAAATTATAAGGATTGACAAATCTATTTTCCCTATTTACTATTGTATTATTTTTCTCAATTTCTTTATGAAATGCAATTAATATAAACATATCCTGCTATTTAAAAGATTTTATTATCAAGTTTTAAAGGTTACAATATGTGCTCAACAAAAATTTACAAGTGTCTGTTCTTTCTTTTTTTTAATTATTCACATTTTTATTTTTTCTCAAAATTTAATCTAAAGTATAAAACAAAAGCCACAACAAATGACATTATTTATAAATTATAGGTGATGCAATTTATTTTTCAGACTTTATTCAGTATATGACGACACTTTTCTCTTTTAAGTTCTATATTTCAGTAATTGGCAAAATAGTACTATAAAACAAAATTAGTTGGCAAAATAGGCTTAAGAGGATATTTGGGTAAGATCAAATTATAGTTTCAAAAGTACTTTTACGTTATACGAAATAAATATGTGGAGGAGTGACACCACTGTCGAATAGCATCAAAATAATATAAAACTAGGTTTTGCAGTAAAGCGTAACCTAGGTCGTCTCCTGATGAGCCAATGAGTTAATCACTTAAATTAAGAATTTCAATAAGAAAAAGATCACCCGAAAATACTTTAAAAAAAAGGGGGGTTTGTAAACTGAAGATTAAAAGTCTAATTAACTAGGAAAAAAATGACAACAGAGCAAATTGACAACTAACAAGAATTTATAATGGCGATGCAATTAGCTACAAGTTCTTCCCTTAGGATGTAATGGTCCTTGTCCAGATAAAAGATTCAATTCCTTTGATTGAGATTCCTGAAGAAAATTTCCCAACTAAAATCCTTGAATTATCATTCAAGTTTTATGCTCTTGTTTAAATCAAAGTTCAATGACATCTCACTTAAACTCCAAATTAAACTTAAGCAACAATTAATCCTGAAATTTTAACAAACAGAGAAAATCAATCAATTTCCTCCTTTAATTTCCCTCTCAAACTTCCAATCAATCGATTAAGGGCTTATGACCTCTCAATAATTCAAGAAAAATAGCAAAGTAAACATATTCCAAATCTGGAAAATACAAACTTGCACAAATTAAATCCTAACAGAGAGGAATTGTAGAAACTATCAAATCTGAAATTTCAAAAGCCTACTAGTTCAAGTTATAAATCTATAATCAGGAATTTTCAGCACAAATCCTCACCGGATACACCACAGATTATATTCAAATCTGAACACACATTGAGCACAGAAAAATTACGTATAAAAGAGAGTCAAAAGAAAGAAAAATTAAATAAGAATCTCAACCAAAAGAGTTCCCATTACAAGTCTTGGACTCTCATTACAAACCCAAGGTTCAAACTTATAGTTAATTACAGATGAAATTAGAAGTTGATGGCAGAAAATAAGAGCACAACATTACTGATCATGGAGAAAAGAAGGCGTCATAGAAGTTTGGAGAAGAATAAAAGTGAAGATCGCTACTCTGGTCCTTTTCTCTGTCTGCGTATATCTTGATCTCCTCCCCTCTTTTCTCCTTTAATTCTAACCGCCTCCTCCACTCTTTAATCCTTTTTTTTTTCTTTTTAAAACTTCCGCCACTCCTCCTCCTTCAAACTAAAGTAATATAAAATAAAATAAAATAATCAAACTACCCTAAAACTATTTACACAATTTCACCCAAGAGAAAAATTAAAATTAAGATAGTAATTTTAATCAACTTCAGCCCAAATAATCTCCATCATCAATCTTCAATTTATCTCCCAAAATCTGCACAAGATAAGATAATAATCAATAGCCACATATGCAAAAATATTAAATGA